TCCCCCAAAGCAGCCGCTGGAACAGCTTGCTACTGATGATGTTATCTTAGCTAAAGGATCCGAACACTTGGGTGTAGGTATAGGGGGAATAAGGTCGCATCATGTCATCCGCGATGCGTACTCTGGTGCGCGTGTTGCATACCCATTGTCTAAACGTACTGCTGACGCGCATGCTCGCAACTTTAGGCATTTCTTAGGATTGCGTGGATCAGAGCTCACCACCCGAACGTTCATTAAAATGGACGAAGCAGGCGAGCTTGAGCAGGCGGCACATGCCGTAGGCATGGTTCCAGACCTCATTGCCGAACAGATGGCCCCACAATGCCATCCTCGAGAGAGATGTTCGAGAGGAGAAAGAATGTTGCCGCACTATTCACCTCCAATCTGGTCTTCCCTATGAGTATCACACATATAGCTATCCATATGCTTGCCTTTCAATGTCATTCGACAAGCCTTCAATAGCCGACCCCGAAAAAACCCAATGGGAGTCGCTTACTAGGAATAAGTTTGATGGCAGGAGGTTATGCTTTGGTCAGTTAGTGTATTACCGTAGGAAGTCACCCACCAAAAGGACTTTGGAGCCCAACATGTCACCTGGTCTATTTTTGGGTTGGAGGATTGATCCCGGTTTCCGATATAGAAATATCTTAAGGGTGTTGGATTACCAAGAGTATCGCACTAGAGGTGGGAATTCAGCCGTTGATGTTCCAGAAGCAGAAATCTTTGTCCCTGAAGGTGATCCTGTTTTTCCAGTAGGTTTTTCACGCCACCAAGCTCTCATCAGGGGGGATAACCCGGATGATCTTAAGTTGCCTGAATATGCCTTAAAGGATGTGCCCTTCCCCAAGGAGGGCGGAATAGCCTCACCTTCTACACCAGGTCTCAAAAGTCGTTCTGTTTATATAACCGTAGACCGTATCCTTAAGTGGAAAGAGACACCTGGTTGCAAAGGCTGCACTGGCCATTCGCGCGTGCACACTGATGAGTGCAGAGCCCGCTTCTCAATGTTGGTTGAAAAAGAAAAAGAAGCCGAAAAAGAAAAGAAAGCTCCACCACCCACAAGTGAGACAGAAGCAGAAGACAAGGATGATGAAGCACATGGCATCATCTTCCAGGGTGAGGACCTGCCTGACCCCGACCCCATACCATCGCACCTCTCCGCTGAGGACAGGGCGCTCTTTGAGGAAACTCTCATAAGAGGTGAGGTACCAGGGTCGTCCAAACCCAGCGCTCCAGCCGAGCCTGCTGTTTCTGTTTCTGGTGTAGCTATTCTTCCCCAAGTTGCCAATCGATGTTCCGACCTATGTCAAAAGTCGCTGCCTGTTTTTGGTTGCCCCGCTGTAGGTAAGCCAACTAACTGCGATAATCGTAGGAGCCGGAAAGCTGCCAAGAAAGCTTCCAGACCCAATGCCAAGTCAACCATGTTTGAGTTTGCTTGTTCTGAGGACTCCCAGATGGGTTTTACCAAGAATATGGCATTAATCATGTTAGACTTTGTAAGGATAGGATAGACCTGGGAGATGAGTCACAATGTGAGCAACTAGACTATCAGATAGATGAAGCCGCTAAGGTTGCACCTCCACACATGTGGGCCTCTATCCCTTGCACATCCGGATCCCCTTGGCAGTACATCAATAGGAAGAGGGGTGGTGCCGCATTCATTAGGAAGCTTGCCCACCAGGTCAAAGAGTCCAAACGGTTGTTTAAGAGTTTTTCCAAACGCGCTGAAAGGGTTCTCAATCATGGTGGTACTGTAACGTTTGAATGGCCAAGACCTTGCTCTGGCTGGAAAAGGCCTGACGTTGTAGCATTCTTTGAGAAGCATCCCCAGTTTATGACCGTTGGTTTTGAAGGGTGTACCGTAGGTTTAACCGACAGAAATGGTTATCCCATCAAAAAGCCATGGAAGCTCAAGGCCACTTCTCCCCGAATTGTAGAGGCGTTTCAAGATATGCGGTGTCGATGCCAGCAACCTCATTCCAGATGTGAGGGAGCTGAGACCACTCGCTCCGCAATGTATCCGCCCCAAATGACTAATCTAATTGCGCAAGCTTTGTGTCCCTCAAGATGTGCCCAGCAGTCCGTTCCTGCTATGCCTTGCCGACCGGCAACCAGCGAGCCTCAACCCCATAGGGAAATTGAGCAGCACCTTAAGCATGTATCCCCATTAGCTGGTTTTGAAGATTTAGCCCTAGCTGTTGAATCAGACCCCACCGCTAATAGGTTGGTTACAGAACTTCTTGACCATGAACAATTGACCGCCCAAGCCTTCCACCTGGAAGACCCTAAGGCGCCAACGCCTGAGATCAAAGCAATGGTCACTAAGCTCTTATCCCGTGCAGAGATGCTGTCCAATCCCAAGGCCTTAGAGGCAATCCGCGCCGAAGCCGATGGTTTGGTTAAGGCTGGTACTTGGGATCTTGGCTCGGTCCGCGAGAAGGAAGATGTACGCAAAGAAGCTAAGGCTTCGGGTGTGTCAGTGCACTTTGGTCAGCTCATGACCATCGCGTCCATTAAATTCTACGAGCTTGCAGACCACCTTCACAAAATGAAGGGGCGCATTGTGTACAGAGGAGACTGCGCAAAGGACGAACATGGTGCAGCCGCGGTTTACCAAGAACTCGGCGCAAACCCCACCTCCGTCCAAGGGCTAAACGCCTGCTTGGCGTATGGGTCGCTGCCGGGTAACCGCGCGACGGCTGCAGATGCAGTCAAAGCTTACGTCCAAGCACTGTTATCTTCCAAATACAAAACCTGGATTGAGCTTCCCCCGGAGCTCCGCCCTAAGTATTGGAAACAACAGTTTGTTAAGCCCGTAGTCCTCTTAATTAAAGCCTTATACGGTCATCCTGATGCCGGAGGCCTGTGGGAACAACACCTGAAAGTCATCATCAAGAACCTTGGTGGACAGGAAGTTCCAGAATACCCAGGAAATTTTTACTTCCCAGATACAAAGTTACTTCTGTCAACTTATGTAGACGATTTAACTCTAGCTGGCCCCGCCGACCAGCATGATGCATTCTGGAGTAAGTTAACTTCTGTGGTAGACATTGAACCCCCAGAGCCCATCTATAGGATTCTTGGACGCAACCATGTTGTTACCCCACTCTCCAAGACCGAAGGTCATGAAAAATGTGCAGCCTTCCAAGCCCAAGATGGCATGGTTTTTGATATGGCAGACTACGCTCAGCAGACCGTAGATTTGTATAAATCAATAACTGGTGTCACCAAACTCAAGCATGCCGCCACGCCATTTCCACCTGAGGGATCCATCACCATTGAAGATGATGAAACTAAAGGGGAACTAGCTCCAAACGCATGTAAGATTTTGATGAAAGCCCTTTGGTTAGGTAGACTTGCACGTCCCGACATCATCAAGCCTATCAATGATCTGGCCACAAAAGTCCAGTCGTGGTCCAGGGGGGATGATAAGAAGGTCCTAAGATTAATCCAGTACATAGCCTCAACCCCACACTATAGGTTAGTAGGTACCATTCAGGACAAGCCTGAAGACCTAGAGCTCAGACTGTTTGTCGATGCCGACTTCGCCGGCGACAGATCCACTGCACGCTCAACCTCCGGTGGCTTTTTGGTTTTAACTGGCCCTAGTTCCTTCTTCCCACTTGCATGGATTAGCAAGCGCCAAACATCCACTTCTAGATCGACCACGGAAAGCGAGGTTGTTAGTTTAGCCCATTCGCTTTATCAAGAAGGCTTGCCTGCCTTACAGTTATGGGAGCTGTTGCTTGCACGCTCCGTAACCCTTAAGGTCCACGAAGATAATCAAGCAACAATCCTAGTTGTGAAGAAAGGATATAGTCCCAAGCTTCGCCATATAACTAGAACACACAAAGTTAATTTGTCTTGCCTGTCTGAAGTCTTCAGAGATGACTCTGCCGAGATAGAGTACACTCACACCGATGACCAGGCGGCAGACATATTCACCAAGGCATTGCCTCCACACAAATGGGCAGCAGCACTAATCCTTTTAGGAATACGTACTGACCTTCCCTTAGACCTTAAAGCCAACGCCTAGGTCGCGGCGGACGCCCGTTCGCGCGACAGTAGTTGCGTAGGTTACTGCCAATGCGCAGTGCGTGTGGAACAGGCGAGGGGGGAGTTGAAATATATCGACCCCTGAGCCCCACTATGTATAGCATAGGTAGTAGGTCTAGTATTGGCATGCCGTAGCTATGATTCCATAACATCCCAAGTAGTTACTCCGAATACCTTGTGTACAGTAGTAGCACCTCATACCTAGAAGCGTTAGGTATGTAGATAGCCTAGAGTTTATCTCAGGGTCGTAGTTAACCTTCCCAACAACTACCGGGTAGGTCTTTAACTCCCGCTGTTTGATGCTCATGGCTCAAGTGCACAAAAGTGTGCTTGCTCTTGTATTTCATGCAGGGTTTACCGGATCGGGTCTTCTCCTTTTTGTGGGTGCCTGGTTCGTCCCCCTGTTTGACTATTACATGATATTACATTATATTATATTATATTATAGTATATTATATTGCACTTGTATTATACTGTAATATATGTTTTATTATGTTATATTATATTTTATCATTAAATTTGATCATTTTTTATTATATTATATTAGATTGTGTTATACTATTTTATGGTTTATTTTATTTTACTGTATTATATTACCTCTATATATATATATATGTTTTTGCATTTTAATACAATATTGCATATATATCTTACAATTGTATTGTATGACTACTTTACATGGACGGACATACACTTAGAACACATGTTGGACATATAGGATGTGTTCTAACACGTTTCTGAAGCGGTTCGAAGTGCGCACTTAGAACATGTTCTAAGTGTGCACTTAGAACAGTTAGGGTAAATTTTGCAGGCAGGGGAAAGGCGTTCTAAGTGTGTGAAAAATAGAAAAAATGTGTTCTAAGCGTAGGTCCGTAACTATATATTTATAATATATATACAATGATTCTGTGTCGGATTGTGTCTTGTTTTCTCGTGTCGTCAAGGAAGATCTCGATGGCAAACTGCAGAGAGGTTGAGCAGCTTGGCCATTCACACTGGCTTAGCCGCCATGCTTCAATGGCCAGAACAAAATGCAAACAATCGCAGCTCAAGATCTTCTCATCATGACCTCAATGTTGTTTTTTTCGGGTACAAGCAACTCACTGGGCCTGCCTAGGGTGAGTTTTCACCAGATCAGCTTATCAGCTTGATCTGATCAGCTTAAGCATGCTCAAAGTTTTGATGCCCAGGTCTTTGGAAGCCACCCGTGCCTCTGGAGCAGAGGAAGTCACAGATACTGGACGCAGGACAGTCGATGGAAATCCATTTTGCCAAAATCACTCGAGGAGATGCTGGTGAAGCGGGTCAAGCCAACTGCTGTGCTGCCTGTACGTGGCTCTGCGGTTGCTTGTCTGCTCATATGGCATTTTTTGGCCGCTTGTGGATACTTATTATGACTTATGGCACACACTGCACCACTCCATCTACACTCAGATCGGGCGCCACGACTGTAGCTTGCAGACATTTTGCATGACACAGTTCTGGGATGTGTCAAACATATGAGCGCTTACAGTGCTTCTGTTCTTGATCCGGGCTTGAGATGGCCAAGGCAGCTGCCGGCTTTGACCTTGCTGCAGCAGAGGCAACAGAGATCCCCGCTGGTGGCAAGGCACCGGTTGACTTCATTGTTGGATATTTGTGGATACTTGTCGGATCTAGTTGGGCTACGTCTAGATTGGAACTCCATTGTTGGAGTTCCAATGTTAGAGTTCCATATAGAGCTCCAAATGCCAGGGCGTTGTGAAGACTGGGCTTTGCATCTCCATCCCAGAGGATGGGGGAACCGCTTCATAGCTCATACGCAAGACATGCGGACTTTGCAATACTTTGCACAAGTTTCTGAAATGCGATGATGTGCCATGGTATGAAATGATGCGATATGATGTCATTTGATGTCATTTGATGTGCTTTGATGCGATGTGATTTGATGTAATTGTTTGGATGTAATGTCAATTGATGTTATGTGATTTGATGCCATATGATGTGATGTGATGGCATTGAATTGATAGGATATGATGCAATAAGACACGGTATGATGTAACTTGATGTGATATGATGCGATAAGATGTGAGCTGCTGTAATTTGAATTGATTGCATATGATGCGGTTAGATGCGATATGATGTGATATGACGTGATTTGCTTTGAGGTGATATGATGTGATAGGATGCGATGTGATTTCATGTGATTTCACTTGATATGACGTGATATGATGAAACCCGTTGGCAGGGCACCTATGCAAGAGTGGCGCCCCGTTCTGGGTTGGCAGTAAAGAAGATGCATCTCAGACGCAGTTGATAGTAAGAAACGATAGTGATCGATAGTGTATGGCTTTGAGTGATTCCCCGAATACATTTCCAGCCTGAGAAGCCAAGGCTCCACACAGGAGCAGGGGTTGTGGACTACGACTACCGTGGGGAGGCTAGCAGTCTATGAATCAACAATGAAGAACAGACAGCATGCAGCATCGTTCACTGCTCAAAGTCTACCTGCAAGTATTGCTGCAGGTTGGGGTAGTCCTTTTCAACCATGGAGCTGAGGACATTGTGAGAGATTGTTGCAGTCAATTTTTGCTGCGGAAAGGTTTCGAGACGCGCTTCGTCCGTGTGGTTTCTGCTTGGCAAGTGCTTGACAGGATTTTACTGTTGGAGTCGGTGATCGTGTGGCACAGCTGATTCTTGA